CCACTGCACTGACCTCAGGTTTCCTCACTGTGTTTGCAGAGGAAGGAAAGAAAACATTAGAGCACTGATGGCCCGAGAATGCTCTGAGCAGACACAACCTTCGTACTGAACTCCATTGTAGCCGCTTCCTTCAAGGTGCTACTGTTTCATCAAAAATTCACAACAGACTTGCAATCGGCTTTGAAATGCGATTGCTAGCTTCCAAAATTATTATTCAAACACCGCAAATTTCCAAGCACCCTGAGAATCCCAAGGCCCAAAGCTATGAAGGACACGATACCCTCATTAAAACTGTTGCAGAAAGGTTTCAAAACACAATCCTCATAAACCTGAACACTTCAATAAAATACATGAGTCAACATGTTATGATAAACTTACTGAAAAACAATCATCACTGCTGTTTCACAAGTCTTATTTTTCACTATTGGAGAAAAGCAACTTCACAAATCTCTTAAAAAAATGAACAATTTTAATGGAAAAAAAGTAATGGGGATTTCAAATAGATGTGATCATTACCATCAAAGTGTTACGGACATGACTAGTTATTTTGGGGGACTGCTACACTAAACTGTGATCTTAGAGAAAAACTCTCTCTTAGGGCATGTTGCATTTCATTCACACAAATGTGGTTTTAATGCCAACCAAGTTTTCCATTACAAAGTTGTACACGGTTCTCCTACAAATTAAGCCCTTTATTTACTAAAGTGGCCCATTCAGACTGGCTTAAAACATAAAAGAATACTACACCCAGTGCTTCCCAATTCTGGACACATTTTAAAATACCTTCTCATTCATTTCAGATATTCAACATTTACTATTTTATCTCTTCCAATAATCTGTGAACAAACGATTTTGTACTTGGAGCTTTTGATAACTCTCATGACCATGCTTTGCGGCACTCGTTTGCAATGTTAGACAAAATTCAACAAATTGAATCAAAATTTCTTCAGATCATTTTCTTAGAAGGAACCTTTTTCAGTTAGGTAAGCTAACTCACAAACTTTCACTAGTGAAAACTGCTTTAAGATTTTATTTCTAACAGCTTGGGGTTTGTCTCAGTTCCATTTGAAAAATTATACTCGGGAGGTGAACACCTGAGGATGGCGCCTTTCTTGCAACAAAACAGCCTACAGATTAACGAAGGACCACATCTTTGTGAACCTCGGAGTAGCACAACAATTTCTAAGCCAGCTGCTACAGTTTTGTAAATCCTGTTGTAGTGGGTGTAAAGGGCCATGTGCTGGCCCCGGGGGGCTGCAGGGGTGGCCCCTGGGGGAAGAGGCCAGGGGCTGCCCTGTCGCAGACCCAGCTGAGCCCCTCAGCCAAGCTGGAACCACCTCTGGGAAAGCCTATTTAAGAAAGGGCAGAAAATGCCACAGAGAGGAGGAGGGAACAAAAGGAGTGAGAAACAGCAGAGGGAACACCAAGGTCAGAGGAGGAGGAGGTGCTCCAGGTGCTGGAGCAGATAGCCACCACCAGCACAGCCTGAAAAGGACCCAGGCTGGAGCAGGTGGGTATGACCCGAAGAAACTGCGGCACGTGGAGAGCCTACACAAGAGCAGACTTTTTTCCTGGAGGTCTCCATCCAGCAGGAAGCCCACATCAGAGCAGAGGCAAAACGTGAGAAGGAGGGAGCAGCAGAAAGAAACAACCTCGCACAGACTGTAACCCCTTTGCCCCCTGCACCACACAGGGATGGGCACAGGAGTCTGGGGCGCAAGAGTGAAATTAAGCCTGGGAAAGGGGAGAGGAGAAGTGTTGATTTCATGGCTGTCTTTCTGTTTCTTACTCTCCAAATCTATTTTAACTGTCAACAAATCAAATTAATTTTCCCCAAGTCAGGCCTGTTTTGCCCACAACAGTAATCAGTAAGTGATCTCCCTGTCTTTATCTGAAGCTACCAGTCTTTTCATCCTATTTGCTGCCCCTGCCCCACTCGGGGAGAGACTAAGCAGCTGGGTGGGAACTTGCTGTTAGCCAAGGCTAACCCACCACACCTGCACATAACAGTTTTGACCCAATCTTTCATGGGAGTGCTGATGAAGCAAGAGCTCAAACAGAGATTTGTGTTACATGACCTGAATCTCATTACAGCTACTGAGTCCTGATTCTGAAGGAGAGAAACGTAATACAGACTGGATGAGTGCCTAGCAATTCTGAGTCAGGTTAAAGGCCTGTCTTTTCATCTATCCTTTATGAAAAACAATGCAAGTCACAGGCTTGACACAAAGCACACATTTTCCATAATCCAAATTGTGACTATTACTAATAGAGTAGCAGAGGCAGTGACCAATCCATTAATATTGCTCTTCCCTCTTTATCTTAAAGCTCGGTAAGCTCACAAAGCCTTTCAAATACAATCCCTCAGATACAGAAATTGGTTCTAGTAAGTGACATTTTTGTGCATCCAAAATCCTACATAAACTGTCATACATATTTGATCCAGTGTCAGGTTTTATACAGACTCCTAATTCTGTGAGGGAGTAGACAGGATCCATCAGCAGAACAAAACAGAATAAACAATAAAATAATCAAGTCCACTCAAACTACTGCACCTCTCCAGTGCTGTGCTTCACCAGCTGTACATACTATTGCCTTATTCATCCACACAGACCTTTGTCCTAGGAGCTGTCATTGCTATTTCCTCCTCCATCTAATTTAGGTTTCAAACTTCAAGGGATGGGAACTTAATAAAAACCACTATATCAGTGCAAACCAGCCCAAATAATAATCCAGCCCATTAAAATTCCTGTCAAATTCTCTAATCTCCATTTCCAAACAGGAGGTGTAATTAAGTACTGATAAAATAACACTATTCTTTTGCAATAGTGGAAGAGTTAAGAGATTACAAGAGGGCTTCCCCAAAAGATTCCTTCCCATCTGTGTCCAAAGAACAACAAACCTCATTCCTAGCCATGTTGATATCCTCAGTTAAAACGCTCCAGCATTCAGGAGTCAGAGTCAATTCCCTACACACCAATATATGGACAGAATGAAGATCCTCTCCCCTCTTTTTCCTCCTCTCACACTTTTAAATCACTCCTGTAACATACTGTTCCACATTCAGACAAAAAAAACAGATCTTTTGTTATCCACTCCCTAGCTGATTTGTATAAACTGAACATTACTACAGAAGGAAGCAGTAAAGTTCCAAGTACTTTTTCTTCAAGTAATTGCTTCAGATTAACTAACAACAGGGATACACACCGGAGCACCTTGCAGTTCATATCTCTCTTCATGGGTGGAACAGAGGCACTGCCTCACCTTTGTAGTCTCATTAGCTGATAACCTTGGCCTGCAACCTGTTAAGTACACCAGGATCTAGAAGACAACCTTACAGTTTTAAACACTCTCAACAGCAGAGGCATGTGTTTCATTAAGTGAATTACTCTCTTCCTGTATTACTCCACTACAAAAGAAGAGTCCCTTACAATCACTTAGCTTACTGACTGTTGATGTTCTCAGTTAGCTAGAACTTGGAAGCCACAGACATTGATTTAATCATTCCTGTGCTGTCAGAAAGAGACGAAATCTACATACGAGACTTTCCCATGTTTTAAAGATCAGGAAATGCTCCGATAATTTGTATTTTGAGTGGTACAGAATCCAGAAGATACCATAATAGGAAAATCATTGCAGTGCAAAGTTATGCAGACCGCATAATCTTCTCTGATATGCTTGCTTGGTAATAGAGCATGCAGAGCAGAGAAATTTAGGTCAACCTGTCAATAACATCTTCTGCCTAGCTCTCCCAACCTGTCTGAAATACCTTAGTACATCTTAAAACCGTGAAAATCATGCTTCTCAGCCAGACAGCCAAAAAACATTTGCCTTTACCTGAACTGATCTCTAACTAGTTCACAGTCTATAACTCAGTGAAACGCATCCTAAAACTAAACATAATACCTTCCATCTTTTTACTTGTGTTTATTTCTAGTTAGTATAATACAGTGTGTTTCAGGAGCATCACCCAGTTGTTCTTAAGGCCAACACATGTAAGGTTACCTACCACCCATCCATCCATCCATCCATCCATTCTTAAATTCTCTCTCTTCTCGTTACTTTGATTCAGGCTTCTCCTCTTTTATTTGTATTTCTATAGGCCTGAATCACGCAGTTTTCTTCCCTGCCTAAATGCGCAAAGCTATCACTGCCTTCTCAACACACTCCAAGTGATGCCAGCCTGTGTCAACGTATCACCTCTGAATTCACCCCAAGTTCTGTCTCTACAGACTTGACTTCTCTCTAAAAATACCTCCAGGTCCACCTCAAGCAGATGAGTGAGCCCAGAGGGACAGACACTATCTCCGTGTCTTTTCCCACACACACAATGAAGGCATCCATACCAAAAAGAACTTCCCTGCATCTCCCTTGCTCCTTAGGCACTTTCATATCTGAGAACGAAGCACTACTTTTCACCTGCTTCAGCTAAACGTTTAAAAGTTTGCGCTATAAGAAATACGAGACCAAGCGAGGCATTCATGGCTTCTACAAGAAAATAAATGAAGCTGCACTATACCGCCGAGGTATGCTTTTTAGAAAAGAGACAGAAGCCTTCACATGACACGCTGTGTACAGATACTCCGGCTGTGCAGGCAGAAGGACGCTCAGGGCTTCACGCACACCGCCAGCAAACTGCAACGCTCACGAGAAGCCGTCAGACCGCCCAGCAGCTCCGGACGCAAACCCAAGGGGCCGAAGCGCGGCCTCCCTCGGACCCCGCAGGGGCGCCCGAGCGGGGCGGCCGCCCAGCTCCCCGCCCGCGGGCCGGGGTCAGGCCCCGGGCGGCACCCGCCTCCCCACCTCGGGGCCCCCGCTCGGCCGCGCCGCCCCGACCCGCTCCGGCGGGCCCCCCGGCCCCGCGGGGCGGCCCGCAGGCCCTTCGCGCCGGCCCGCCCGGCTGCACCTGCCGGGCCCGGCCTCCGGGAGCCCCGCCGGCCCCCGCCCCCCCCCCGCCGGTCCCTCCGCCGCGGCCTGCCGCCTCCCGCCCTGCGCCGCACCGTTAGCGATCAGCTTGGCCGAGAGCTGCTTCACGAGCTCGGGGATCCGCTCCCACTGGCACTCCGAGCGGCACCGCTCGATCTCCGTCTCCAGCCGCGAGCCCGCCTTCTTGGTGGCCATGGCCGGGCCGGGCCGATGGGCCCCAGCGCGGGGGGGGGGGTGATGGGGAGAGGAGGGGGGGGGGGGAAGAGCGGCGGGAAGGGGGGAGGCGGGGAAAGGACGGCGGCGGCGGCAGCGGCCGGGGCGGCGGAACTTGAGGGCTGCGGCCCGCGCCGCGCTGGCGGCCGAGGGGCGGGGGGGGGCGCCACCTGCCGGGCAGCGCCGGGCAGTGCGCGCGGTGGGGGGGCGTGGCCAGGGGGCGTGGGGCGGCCCTGAGGCCTGGTCCCGGCCTGGGGAGCGCGGCCCGCGGCCCGGCGCCTCCCGCTCGGCTGGGCCCGGGGCAGGGACCGGGGCTGGGCCCGGGGCCGCCCCGACCGCCACCCGGAGGAGCAGGAGGGAGGCTGCCCAACGAGACGGCCGCGCCGCGGGGAGCAGGGCCGGTACCGCCGGGCTCCCGCTGCCAGCGGCAGGAACTGCTCCTTCAGAACGATTTGCCCGGTGACAGGCCGAAAGAGGAGGAGGAGGAAGGGAAATAAAGGGAAAATTAATCTAATATCCTTCTTCCGCAGGTTAGTGATGAAACGTACGCTACCGCCCCGTCTGCAGTGCTTCTCCACTCCCCCAAAACGAGTTCCTGCCCCCCCCGAGTGGCCGCCTCTCCCCCCCCCACCTTGAAATCACTCGCCCACGCTCGCGCGAGGGTTTCTGAGCCTCCTGAAGCCATTCGCCTTTTTGTCCCCTCCGTCCACGCGCCTCTCCCCACGCCCTCGCGGGGCTGGCACACACCCTACCCCACGGAAAGGTGGGGCCCACGGGCTCGGTGCCCACTTGCTCCTTAATTAAACAGGAGAGGGTAGAGCCGTGCCTGTACAGCAAAGATCTGCACTGTCCGTAGATTATGCCCTATGCTTTGGGAAAATAAATGCATTTCCAATGTTTGGGTGGAATCAAAATATTAAATAAAGCTTTTTCAATAAACACCATGTCTCTGTCAAATGCTACATCACACATACGTGACACACCAGTTCCACAAACTTACATACACCTCAGAAAACCACCACCATGGCTGATTTTCACTGAAAAATGTAGCAAGACCACCAAGACTGCATTGAAAAAAGTAAATAGCAATTTGTGAGATTTTTCACCAGAACAAATACACAGCCCATTGACAGAAAGAACAGGCTCTCTATGACAGGCATCAGATGTCTTTCTCAGTGTTTCAGTTAATTCACTTTTCGTTCCCAGTGCTACTGAAAGCATAATAACACACAATTCACATATTGTAATCTGCCTTTTTATGAAATTGCTGTTGTAGCACTCTCAGGTTACAGGCCAATTTCAAAGTATACTTCAGCTTTTAAAATTTAAATAGAAACAGTAGCAGACTATAACAGTGTTTAAGATACAACGGAGTTTAAGACACTGCAGGAGTGGAAAGAAGATTTAGTACTGTAACAAAAGCAAAAGGAGAAATATGTGATAAAGCATTTTTTGCTTATGTGATGTTTCAGAAGATCCAGAGAACACTAAACTGATGATAGGATGGTGTTTTACTGGAGAGTTAAGATGATTAAATTAAAAATGAGGGAGGAAAGGAATGATAATTCAAAATCTGTAGTATTATAGCTACTAGTTCTTTTACACAAAAGGCTATGAAAACTAAAATTTGAGCTTTTGAAAAGAGTTAATTTGCTTATGAAGATTATTCATATTTATTCACAACAATTTTAACACATTTTGTTAGCACTGATCACATCATTTCAGTATTCAGTATTTTGCTACTAGCAAAAGAATAGCATTAAAATATTTACATAACAGTTCATCAGGCTTATTATCTCAACAGCTACTATTTACGAAGTGAGACCTCTATGCAAAAGACATTAGTATATTCTGAAATGCATTGGAACAGTTAGGAAATCTGCTTTAACATTAATGAAACTTCCATATACCCAAGGCTGCTGGGAGAAGATTCCATTGTAGATGACCCGTCGTCATAGACAATAACAGATCTGGAATGAATAGCATAAAAGCGATACAGAAAAGAAGCCTGATCCTGCATATTTTGTCAATTGCCACTTATTTTTTCAAACGGAAACAAAGTGTTGATTTCTGGAAATGGCTTATTTAGTAAACTGTTGGCATAGACTGAAGCATACATGTACTTTGCTAGAAATAGGAGGTCTGCTTGTAAGGTGAGGCAGCTGGCTAGCCAGAATACATAGAGAGATATTCCTGAAAATGATGGAAAATTAAAATGCAGGAAAAGTAACTGGCATGTATTGGTCAACCATTTTTCCTTATGCCATCTCTCCCACTCCAATCCCCCCAAACACAGGGCATTAAGAGAAACAACGGACTGTTCAGTGCAATTTCATTAGCTTAGTACGAAGAAACAGGAACTTTCAGTACGCAGGAACACACCGATATGGCACTCTGATACTTCTGGTAATCTGGAAATAAACCCGATGAAGAAGTTTTCTGCACTAGTACTCAGTACAGAATTATGAGAAACAGCAGTGATGAGGGCTTAAACTGGTAAAAATGTAGAAGTTACAGAGAATATAAACTGACTTGAAGTAACATTTTAATCTCACTAAGATATCGAACATTCTGTAACAAGGAATCAGAAAAAAAATCCCAATATTTTAGAAGTACTTTCATTTTTAAAGGTAACGTATTCAAATAGAATGCTAGGAACTCAAATGAGAAAAAAAGCAAGAAAACTTACAAGATCACTGGGTTTTGTTCTAGACTGAGTTTCTGGCCTCTTAGGCAAATACTATTCACTGCTGAAGCGGCAAGGGAGGAAACAAACTTCACCTTTGTTCTCTCTTTTTTTTTTTTTTTTTTTTTTTTTTTTGAAAAGAATAAAGTTTAAAACTATTTTCATGACAGTTTGATGAAGTCAGCTTACTGGTATGGAGGCTCTTGAGAGAACAGCCTAGTCAGAGCTTAACATCCAATTTGTGCCAAAGGTTATCGGTGCTTAATGGCAAGTGTTGTTTCATTATTTACAGAAAAAGTATTCACTATGCAAGTTTACCTGTTAGTGTGGTTTTAGTCTGGCACACTGACAGGTGGTTTGGGCTTGGTTTTTCTACCAAGTAGAGTTTGTCTGAAGCTGCTAATCGAAGTGCTGATTATTAAAGCTATTTTCTTCCTCAGTTCCTGTAGCATACGTCACAGAAAGATGATAATTTTGAGGGAAACATAATGTTATGGAAGATAGCGCAGAAGTCCTTATTTTATCTCCACAAAGTGTAAAATAGAATTAAAAAGTCACTATTAGAAAGAAGCTTTTCCTCAGCACAAACCTTTATTTTACCAACTTCTTATCTTTTAATTCAAATCAACATTTTACTGTCTATTAAGATGTTAAATGTATTCTACTGCAAGTGATCAGAGATGCAATTTAAGCATTATTTGTATTTTAAAGCAATGACACTCAACTCCCACTATTGTCTGCCATTTTCTCAAGTGTGTTTCGGGCCAAAACGCATTAACGTGAGAAGTAATTTCTCCACAGTGAAGAGCACAACTCATAAGCATTACAGAAGCAAAAATTTTACTGAATATAAGTGTCTCATTCCAGTTAGCATAACACTGTTAGTGAAACAAGGTAACTGCAGAGTTCTCCATTCCTGCTGAAGCCAGTAACGTCTATGAAATTTAGAACTGACTGTATGGAAATTGTTGGAGAAAATAATTTCAGTGACACTTGGTTCCTTTTCGGGAGTATCAAATGCAATTTAAAGGGAAGTAAAGTGAGACTGAACAGCATCTGCAAAATCAACAGTTTGACAACATGCACATTATAAAATCTGCCACCCCTGCCTCATAGCAAGGAATAGTCATGTAAGAAGTGAAATATGCTTTATCAAAATATTTCAACGTTTCAAGGTTTTGTACTTAGATTAGTTTATTTTCTTAAAGATAAAATAGTTACATCTGTGAATTGACATTATTTCGTAATTCATTAAGCCCTTACTGCTGTTTGAAAGTCAAAATCATACACAAAACATTTCAGGAAAACCTAGGGACCTGGAAAGCTTTTTTTTTTTTTTTTTTTTTTTCCCCCTTCACAGTAGGCTTTTGAATTTGCAGTTTGTTGCTTTCAAACTGACTCGATTCATACTGGACTTGTCAAATAACAGGCAGTACAACTAATACTCAAAAAGGAACGTATGCCTGTGCAATCAGGCAAATACTTTTCACTACTGTATGAAATCCCTTGATGTTAATTCTTAGTCTTTAATAAATGACAGTGCTAACAGTCATTGCTGTTGATAGGGTCAATCTTAAATTTAATTACTAATTGTGCTGCAAAAGACAAGAAGTCAGACTCCAAGAGACATCCTTTCCACACCCACTCATGCTAAATAGAAACCAGCATTGCCAATGAAAGGGCAACAAAGAGTATCAGTCAACTGGCAGCACGTATTAAAATCATATTGTTTTGGCCCAATGTTTCATACTGCATTTTAAACCCATCATACTGTTTCTGGAAATATCCTCCACATCACAAATGCACATATTTGCACATACAAAAAAAAAAAAAAATCCCATAAAAAAACCTCACCTCCCAGAATTAACAAAAGCACTTTGCAGGTGTTCACAAGCTGAATAGATGTAAGTATTTATATCTGCATTGCTACTTGTTCCACAAATGTATTATTACAAAACTATATTGCCAGTAAAGTTGCTAACATGCAGTAACTAAAAGGAAGCAAAATGGGAAGAAAAACACAGTTTGCGGTTTCTCACTTTTATTGTGCCAGTGTAAAACTATTCAGCCTTCTTCAGAGGTCTAAGGATTCCAAATAAATGCTTTGGCTAATTTAAGTTCAGGGAGGAGCCAAGGAAGGTCTAAATCCTGGGTCTTCCGTTGTGTTACACTTACAGTGATTCTCTTTCCTGCTGTATTTCAAACTGTTGTCCCACACAGTGGTGGTCATAGGGCAGCAGGTAAAGAGGGTCTCCACACTGTCTTTGCACAATAACAAAACTGAGACACAGTTCAGCTAAATTCTAGATATGATCCACATTGTACCCTAATTTCTTGCTTGAACTCAAAAAAATAAATCTTCCTAGACAAACTGAACCTTGGTGACACAGACATTTTTCTATTCTTTTGACTCATTTATGCAAAAAAATGTCCAGAATAG